AGAGAGAGAGAGAGAGAGAGAGAGAGAGAGAGAGAGAGCGAGAGAGAGAGCGAGAGCGCGCCGGAGAGAGAGACGATGACCGCGGGGGTGAACGTGCGGCACAGATGCGGGCGCGGCGGCGGGGCCGCGATGCTACTGCTGCTGCTGCTGCAGGACATGTATCACAGACAAAAGTTTTACTGCTTTACGACCGCCTTTAATGATAGAGTAATGTGTGTGCGGCTGCACGACTGTTTATAGTGCACCCTATAACAGCAATCACTGTACCCCCCCCACCCTCCTCTCACACGCCATGGCACCCCCACAGACAACCCCTCGCGGGGGTAGCTCCAGCTATCGTCCTCTTCATTCCACATCATCGTGAACATTCTCGGCCACACCTCACCCCACCCACCTACTCCTAGATCATTGTAGTAACGTGGTCGGATGGTCCCCCTACGCTCATCTCTCACAAGCTACGCCCCCGCCACCTGGCGTGCAGAAGAGGGAGCCATGGTCTCGCGACATTGATTCTTGGAGGTAAATACGCAGATAAAACATGGCGAAGATCGATTATTTGTTTAATCAGCAACCTCGGTAAAAATATACTCTCGCAATTTCTCCACGTAGGAACAACAACGTATCGAGTCGCAGGAACGTTCGAGAAGAAATCCACGTCATCGTCATCGCCAACGTCACCGTCGGTCACGCAATATCAATACCCCCCAAATATGTACATCGGCGAATGCTCGGATGGATGAGGTACCCGGATGGTGTTTGCGGACGTGCGTGTACTGGGGGTTTAGTGTGCCGACAGAAAGTATTTCTTCGTTTTCGCGAAACACGTTACGTTTAGTTGAAAGTAAACAGACAGACCATTGAGCGGCCGAAACGCAATTTGTGTTGTGCACACATGACTGTGTCAGTACGCGCTGCGAACACATGACGGCGTCAGTGTGTGCTGCGAACACACGGAGAGGAAAAATACCGGCATGACGTTCTCAACAAGCATCGCATATATCGCACGCATCGATATAATCAAGAGTAGATAGAATGTATAAAGCATTCGATTAACAGCGACCGTTTGTTCACAGCATCCTATATATATAATATACATATATAAATATCGATGGGTGTCAATGCAGCGGGTGAATCACACTCCACTGTCGCTACCGTGCATTAGGGTGATAAGCGGGGGATGTGCGAGGGGAGGGGGAGTGGCAGGGAGGAGAGGAGAGGGGCAGGGTGAGGGGAGGAGGGCAGGGAAGGAAGGGGAGGGAGCGGGGGCAGGGAGTGAGAGAGGGGGGCAAGGAGGGGAGGAGGGGGGCAGGGAGGGGAGGCAGGAGGGCAGCGAGGGAAGGAGGGGTTGCATGGGACGAGGAGCGAGGGAGCAGGAGGTCGGAGGAGGGAGCAGAAGGAGGGTCAGGGAGGACGGAGAGGAGCAGGGAGCGGTAAAAGTGGGGGCAGGGAGGGAGGAGGAACAGAAAGTGGGAGGAGGGGAGGAAGAGGGCAGGGAGGGAGGAGGAGGCAGGAGGGGAGGAGACGGCGGAGGGAGGCGGAGAGGGCTATGGAGGGGAGTGGAGATAGGGGGAGAGGAGAAGAAGCCGTCTATGTGGGCTGAAGCTACGGGATATTATCTAATTAATTTAATTCTAGCAATTATTCTATAGCCATATTGCACTATGAATCTTATAATGATAACTTCTAGGTAAGAACGAATAATAGATTTATTATTAGCAAATTAATTAATAATGAAATTGTGCTACCATTAAATTATTTATGATACTACTGCATACTGACATCAATATTATTTCCATTAAGGTTTACCCTATTAATTTACTATGGCGGGGCTCGGGAGGAGAATAGAAACGAAGACCTGCAGGCGGAGGGCTATAAATATAGCAGGCAGCTCCTGGGCCTACGCTCGGGGAAATATTTCACTCTATTAGTCCCTGAGTAAATACCACGCGTTTAAGTGACAGGCAGGGTAAAAGCGCGCAAGGTGTCTGACGGCGAGTACGAAACACTGCAGGTAGGGTAGCGGGGCGGAGGTGCGGCGTGTTAGGGATGGGGGTCGTGGTGTGGAGTGGGGGGGGAGTGGGGGTTGGGGGCGGCGGGTGGGGGGCAGTGGGGTGGAGGTGGGGTGTGGCGAGAGGGGGAGGTCGGAGGTAGGACAAAGGCTCCCGTAGACGTAACACGCGCAGAATTGCAGAGAGAGAGAGAGAGACGCGAGCGAGAGAGAGAGAGACGATGAGGAGAGAGAGAGAGAGAGACGAGAGAGAGAAAGAGAGAGGAGATGACAGAGAGAGAAGAAAGAGATGAGAGAGATGAGAGACGAGAGAGAAAGAAGAAGAGAGAGAGGTGGAGA